CCCGAGGACCATCTGCCTAAAACCTTAATTAACCAGTCTTGCAAGCCAGCAGCAGCTGCCGTAGAAGGAGCGCCAATACGAAAACAGTGCCCTTTGATAGAGTTATATGGTAGACCGGCTTGACGCGTGGCGTCCCTGAGAAGGTTAACGATGGCGGATCTAGTAAGTTGACGCCGCTATTGGAAAGGAAAAAGTGATCCGCGCGGGCGAGCGGTCTGAAAGTAATCACGCATAGCAGTCACCGTACAAACCGGTGAGGTGGAGCATGCAATAACAAGCGTATGCCCTTAGCGAAAGGCATCGGACTTGGAAGCCTTAAGAAAAAGAGACATTCGCTGCGGGGAAGCCAGATTGGGCTGTAACGACACACAGTCAGTGGACAAGTCAACCTGGGGCGAAATCTCGAAATCCCCTGATAAATAAACTCGTTACAGCGGAGAAACGCAAAAAAGGCGAGGAAGAAGGCTGCCCGGACCATAGTAAAGTTGTGATCCCCCAACCAGGAGTGCAAAATTGGCTTAATCGCTTGTAAAAACCCCGGAGTGACGGGTTGACGAAGAATGACTGACCTTGGTAGCGTAAAAATACCCCGGAGGATCTTTTTCAAAAGTAATTTTCCTGAAAGGGGATCTCCATGCCCACAGGAAATGTGTAAATTACGAACAGCTGCTAAGTATAACTTAATACTGCTATGTTTAATTGTCCTAGCCAGATATGAGGCAACATAAATCAATGTTATTTCCGAAGCTGGGAGAATGTCACCCTCCCTAGACATTAGCCTGTTTGAAAGGCAAAACTGAAAAGAACGTTTTTCACCTAACTCATAAACACGGTTGGTAGTCCAAGCCAGTCCCCACTTTGCGTACGTCTGAACCTCTTTCTTAGTGAAGGCGGGATGGTACACGTTTTTTTTGTGGCTTGGGAGCCGACGCCCGGAAACGTTCGTCCTGAAAGCGGGAGAGAGCATCAGCGATGTCGCTAGATACCCCAGGGACATGGCGAGCCCTGACAAAGAAATTGTGTTTCATTGAAAGGAGTACAAGGAACCTCATGAGGTCATTAAAAGAGTGGCCTTTGAGTGACCCGAGTTGATAATGGCGTTTACCGATTCGTTATCGTACCAAAATTGAATTGAATTCGCTTGCCAGAAAAATGCGGGAACCAGAGTGCGCACACCTCTGCTATATATAGCAAAAGGTTCCTGCCATTCAATGCTGATACCCTTGGTGGGGCTAAAGTGTATGTGAGGGACCACTTCCCCTGGAACCATGCATTGACCATTAAGGTGACTCGACCCAGTTTTTTTGCGGGGTACCATCCTACTTTGAAGCTCTCTGGTATCCCCACCTTTACTTTTATCGTAAATCTAACACAGGGAATGGATAACATATAGATCAATCTACAATATAAAATAAAAGTTTTGGCGATCGGAGTAAATGTCACGTGGTTATAATGCCACGCCCCTGTTGCTGGCATTTTTTCGTGAAAATCTCTCGGCTACAGATAGTGCGCATTAGTGCCTTGCGCTGAACAGAGTTTCACCAAAATCGCAAAGACCTAATTCGAGAAATTCAGCGGTTTCCAAATTTAGGTCATAATTTATGCGAAAATGATTAGCAAACTTTACACGGATTATATCTAATAAACTATGAGATTCATCTCTCTAATGCTCACCGAGATATAATAATTTTGGTACAGTGAGACAGGCCATCGCGTGATAGATAGAGGTTTAACTAACAATTTTTAATTACTTCTCGTGCTTCTTGTGCCTTTGCAAAAAAATCAAGAAGTGCTACACACTAAATCTACTTACTATTACAAAAATATCATTTTTCATAGGTTTAATGCAAGCCAATAATTAAACCAACTCGTAACGGGAATATCTCGGTGAGCATTCGGAAGTCAGCCAAGCGTGGTCATTGCACGCGTGCTGAACAAGAATGCTGTATAATGACAGACTAGAAACAATAAACAACTCCCAAAGTGTGCCAACAGGAAAATGCCCCCAATTAGCTAACTGTTAAGCTAAATACATCTGAGAGGGCGAGGCCGAGATCCCGGTTGCTCGAGCCGAGATCTCGGCAAGCGGGTCAGCCCACCTTCTCGTAAAAACACAAAATTCACTAACAGGTGTGTCTTAAGCTAGAGATAGGTCGAGATAGAAGGAGAATTTCAAAAGGCTGGGCCGATGGTTTTAGTTTGACAGGGCTCAAAAACCACCGACTGTGGTTTGCTCACACCTTGAAGAAGGGCTTTAACAGTTTTTTTTTTTATTATTCAATGACCTGTTAGTATAAGTGAATAGCTCCATTAATTCTGGCAGAGAGAGAGACTGCTGGTAGCCTATCCAGGCATGCCAGAGTCAATATTTAGGAATCTTTTAAGTTGACTGGTCGGTAAAGAGGGAACCAATGTTTTAAAATTTAGCAGTGCTATTTAAGGAAAATCAATAAGAAATCATTGATTGTAGAGTAGAGCGGTTGGCGTAGGAAAACTGCCAACAAAAACGATAACACTATTCTATACATGTGTGTGGATTTCATATAAGGTGCCTGTACTGAGTCTCTAGACAGCCAAGTCCAAGGAGCAAATACTCACCCTCACCACCCATGAAGCTTTTGACTAGTCAATCACTTCCCCCAAGCTCTGCTAGTAGTGTTATGATTATGAGTCACAGCATTGATTTGGCTGAGCTAGCCCAAAGGAAAATTTCTCTGACTTTGCACTGCTATCTGACAAAAACTGTAATCAAAGTGACAAACTCTCCCCTCCCTACCCTCCTGGTTTACACACAAGGACAGGCTAATAAGAGGGTTCTCAAAAATGCTGACGTTAGAGCTTGTAGTGCCTTTACAGGCGGATAGACGAACGCTTTGTACGCAGATCCAAGAATGCCCTAAAAGGCAAGTATAGACTCAAAAATCTTGATTGTTTTTTTTGCCAGCGAAAGGTAAGGAAAGCAAAGGTTTCTCAAACCGAATTGATGTTGAAGAGTCCTCGGACTAAGTATGCTATGTTACTATAAAACTTACAAAAAATATCGATCTGCAGAATTTTTTCATTTTTTATTTTTGCATTTGCACGTGCGCGCATGTCTTCGCCCCGGCATGTATGCGTTACAGCTGAAGAATAAACGACATAATCTGGGGCTCGGTCGCTGTGTTCTCTAAGGGCCTCTGTACATGGAGGTGGGGGACCCCAGGTAAGTGAGGTAACATGTGGCGGGTCACCCCGCCTAACATGTAAACGTGATCACATCAAAATAAGAGATTATATGGACAGGCGGGTTACCCCACCTAAGCGGGTTACCTCACCTTCCTGGGGTCCCCCACCTCCATGTAAAAAGTCCCTAATATTCATGTATCAAACTGTGCCACGCCTGTTGCTGAAGAAACGCCGCCCGTATGAAATTATTTCAATGTAAACACAGGAAACCAAGTTCCACCTTAAAAAAAAACATGAGAGTGTAGATGGGTAAGAGACGTGTCAAGCAGCAGAATATATCAGTTATTGGTCTATTCAAGTTAGCTGGACGACAGAAGAAAATGGATGACGTTTTCGTAAACACACGTAAGCACACGTTTGAGTCACTCTCCCAAAAACGAATAAACAAAACAAAACAAAACAAACTACAAACAAACACACAAACTCAATCCCAAACAACATTTGTCACGTGTCTTTTACTCTGTTTGTTTGTTTATGTGCCATGTTTATATTGTCTAGTTGTTCGTTTGTCTGTTATTTGTTTTTTCACGTGTCTTAATTTCCGATACTTTTTAACTAGTTGTAGTTGTTCATTTCAACTGTGTTAAGCGACCAGTTTTCAAAGGTCCCGAGTTTCCCTGCATACAATACAAACATTGTAATGGTTATCTTTATCAACCGGCCTCCTCTTTGCAGCCCATGGCAGGCTTTCTTTGTTATTTTTACCTGTGCTAACTAGCAGTCACCCGCAAATGTAAGAATTATCATAGAATGAGGAATGAGATATTTCGGCCGGATGAGCTTCAGGGCTCGCAGTCACTGTTTGTTAGGCCACCAGGATGACGAATAGCACTTAATCATAATAGTGCTTTTATTTCACCTTTACCGGTTCATAAGTTATATTTGCAACTTTGTTGAAAGGGCAGAAATTGAAAGATCAGATGAGATTGGGGCCGCCCTGGTTGCCTTATTGCTTGGTTGAATCAAGATTGAATAGTGTTACACTATCAAAGTGTGTTCTGATTGGCTACGCGAGTGGGCAAGATGGGCCCAATCATCATCATGACCGATAGAGAAATTAAAGAGACCTTTAAAGAGACCTTTTTTTCCCCATAAGGGAATGAAGTTGGATGAGAGTATTAATTCAAGCACAATGTCAATGAAATAGAAGCTTTCAAATTGACCAACTCAAAATAAGCACAAAAATTATTATTATTATTATTATTATTATTATTATTATCATTTATTATTTTTATTTTTTTTATAACAAGAGTGTTTCTTTCTTTATGACCCGCGCTAATACTAACAACGTAGACGTAGACCACTTACTTTTTTTTACGCCAGTAGACGCGCATGTTTTAAGGCCCATATTGTACGGGCGGTAATAATTAACCCGGTCTAATAAACATTTTATCATTGTTATTTAATGTTTTTGTCGGAAATAAAGTAGTGATGACCTCAAAACTGAACCATGTAATAGTATCCCAAGAAAAATACTAGGCTGAAAAATTAACTGTATAAAAGACCACACGCAGAAAAGCGTTAAAAGCTTGGAACTTGTTTAAAAAAAATAAGCGATCACTCCCCGAATTACATCTGCTTTGGAGGGAAACTGTCTGAAAACAACATTGCAGCTGCAATAGTGAATGTTCGTTTCATAATTTGACTGGCTCGCAGAACAATTAATTATCCTTTGAGCTGTTAATACGCATGACAATACTGTGAACGTTTTAATTTTCTGCACAAGTTATTAGCGGTAACTTTCAATTTGCGGCAGAGACGGAAAAGACGGGAACATGTATGTCCCCCGTGAAGTTGGCGTTTTCTTCCTATTGCTGTTTTTCTTAAAGGTTGCCTCCTTCGCCTGCATTGATGGTATGTGTTCTAATTTCATTTCTTTCTGTTTTCACATGAAAAAAGAATTGTCTCGGGGGAAGAGTTTCAATACGTTTTAGTGTCGCCGCACCACGAGTTCCTAGTCGTGAAGATGTTCTCCAGCGGTACTATGAAAATTCTGTTAGTCTACTAGAAAAAATAAAAATAAAATATTTAGACTTGCAATATCTGGATATCTTCCATCCAAATGCTTCGTACGTTAAGGGTTTGCAAGATAAGTAGTAAAAATAACAGAAAAACATTACAAAGTAGTCAAGAGTCATTCGCTAAAATGCTGTCATATTATATAACATTCTTTGTTTGAGCCGAAAATGTTTTTCGTTGAAGGAAGCTTAAGTGTTGCGTGAAAACCCCCGCCCCACACATGCGCGAACTGTAACAGGTGCTTTATCCACAAGCCCATATCAAATTTCTCTTCTGCATTCGCTGTTAAATACAGTATGTTGAAGTTTTTAAGCTAAATTGTTAAATTATAACTAAAGAAGACACTGCGATTCGTAGCTATGTTCTTGTTTCTTTTTTTTTAAGATGTTATAAAAATAGGTCAGTTTTTAGTAGCTGTTCGTTTATCCCTCGCGCGTATTTTGAGACAAGGTTAGTGATGGTCAGCTACACTATGGTTACGAGATATGACGTCATAAGTAGCAGGTGGTCAAACCATTTTTAAGTAAAAATGAATGCCTTTTCAACTTCTTTCAACAATAAGAGTAAAGCTTGTGGATGCAGAGATGCAAAATGCTTATTTATGTGTTACGTTACTCGTCAAGCACAAAAAAAATACTATTTATCCCGGTTACAGCGAGCTCCATGTTCTAATACAAGTGAAAACTCGGGGAAACCTTTTATTCTGCAGGAAAGAATTAGTATGGGAAACTGACAAGATAAACAAACCCTTGATGCTGCCGGCTGCGAAAATTGCTTCACATTAAGCTGACACAAAGGGTGCTTCATTTGTTAAACAGTTCTGTCTCACATTTATCTCTTGTTGGTATTCGTAAATTTCCAAATGCAGAGAATATATAAATTCTAATAAATTTAGAAGAGGGAAAAACTGCTATCTTTTTTTGCTTAAGGCAGACACACTTATGCATGGAGATTACTTAGAGCGGTTGCAAGAAACTGATGCTGAGCGAGCCGTCAGGACTCAGGAATCTGCATCAGGTTCTCGTCACTTTCGTGGATATGTTCCGAAATGATGTCACTTTCAAATCGAAATCAGTTAAGAACGTCTGTCCCAAAACAATAACAAGCTTAGCCCGTTAACACAGGGATATTGAAATTTGCAACAGCTTCCCGTAGTTGGGAAAACATTATTTGCTGTTCGTTTTTTTTCTTATTGGTTGAATACTGAAAGCTGTCATGACATAGTTCTCTATTTGAAGCCGTGAGAGGAAAATTAATAGGGTCATACTGCTTTCTATATTCCTTTTCTCTTCTCTTTCGGGCCTTTTTTTCTCTGACATTTTTTTTCTCTAATTTCCAGAAGCGTGATTTCATTCTCCTACTGGGAATCATAAAATTGGGCCCGGGTTACTTTCTATATATAACTAAAAGTTTACTGATAGTCATGAAAACTCCTTCAACTTATAAACGTATTTTAACAGTTAAGCTGGACATTGTATTAAATAATTAAGAAGATAAACACGCGATTTACATACATACGTCATTTGGCAGATGGATTTTAAATGTATTTCTTGAAATTGTCTATAAATATATTTTTACATGGACCTTTTAGTTATACGCCTCCGTTCCAACCAGCTCAAATTTCTCTTTGTGGCTGCAAAACCGTAAGATAAAAACTATTTACTATACCAATGCAAAGGTGGAGGGATGTTTGGTTACCCCTTATCCCTGTACTGCAGCTTAGTTAGTTCACTGTTCCTGTAGTACCGTTTATCTAGTTTTTCAAAGTTCTTTTTTTTTTCGGTCTGTAACGTTTGATACAATTAATGCTTGCAAGACATATTTGTTTGCAACGAAGCATTGATCTTGTCATTCACAAGGTCTTTCATGCATGAAAATTAATTTCTTTTACTTATATGGAGGTCGCAATATTAACAACATGGGAAGGACTTCTCGTAAACGACAGTGCAACTGGTTTTTTTTTTTTCTTCGTTGTTATTTTGGCTGCCTAGAAGTAGCACAATAAAATATTAATTGATCTGTTAATTTGAATGACATGACTGAAATCTCTCATTTTGCACAAGTTATTAGCGGAAATTAACTTGTGGTAGAAGGAATTAAGCAAATTAAAGGGGAACATGTATGTTCCCCTTCAAAGTTGGCGTTTTCTTCCTACTGCGATTTTCTTTAATGGTTGCCTTCACCTGAATTGATGGTATTGATTCACGGTTTTTCTTCACATTACGAGTTCCTCTAAGAAAGTACTAGTTGCACGAAAGACACAGAAAGAAGAAGATCGTTTAAAAATGTTTATATAGGCTAAGTTCCTCTTCTGTTTATGTCTTGGTTCCAGCCTTGTCATTCGGCTGAAAAAATCTTCTTAAGAGATATTTTCGATCACTTGATTGTTTTGACTTCCTTAGAAACGGAATGACAAACATACATATATACATTTCAGTCTTCATTCGCATGCAGTTTTATTGCAGTATTAAATGGAACGATGTGTATGTGTCAGAATACTCCGTGTGTTTAAGGTCATGTTTCCTTACCATGACAGCATTGCTTGCTTTCTCGTTCGGGTCTGTAGATCTAGATATATAGACGCAGGTTTGCAGTTTTTAGCTTTGAAGTCACCGTGTCTCCTAAATATGTATAATCAAAAAAATTTCATAACGGGGCAAAAATAATCTTATATGCGTGACAGTCAAACTTTTATTCACTAAGAATTCTATGAAGCCACCCCACAGATTTGACGACAAGCGATCAACAGTGCCAAATACGAGTGCAAAGTTGCACTTTTGAGTAAAAAAAATACCAGCGCCGAAACGAGTTCTCACCTTGTTTTCAGTCGCTCCAATGCCTGCGAGGACGATTATTTGGCCCACTCCAAGCGAAGCGACAAGACTTACCCGGATTTGTGACAGTGGTGCTTTAATATCGCTGTGGGTCTAGTAAAATCGCCGTGACAACCGAGGAATCAGTTTAATCAGCTCACCCAAACCAAGACCCAACTGATTGATACTTGGGACTATTTTATAAGATTTAGCCAGTTAGCAATGCTTGGCCCATAACCTCGACGTAGAAACTGAAAAGAGCAACGACTAGCTGACTCTATGTCTGCTAAACTCCTAAAACTCTATGGCTGATAAGACAATAGTAGCTGTGTAAAAAAAGGCAATGTGAAAAAAAGAAAATGTAAGGAAAGCAAGGACAAGCTGATTATAAATCTTTCAGATTACTTTGTCCTTCACAAAATATTGGAAACTGCAATTCCGAGAATCAAGATTTCAGTAGACACCCTAGATTAAAAGTGGACTTTTTTTGTTTAATGCCCAAAGCCCAAAGAAGTACTTTTTTCAGGATTCCTGTATATGAAAGGGTAAGGGTTTCACTGGTTGATTTATAAAATAAGGTAGGGAAATCTATCATTGCGGTCTGCGGAAGGACCTAAAAGGTGTATTTTATAGCTGTGAAAAAGACAAGATAACTTTCTGTATTTGAAGGGGGTATCATTAACAAAATGTGATTCGAAAGGGGCACCTTTTCTGTCAAAACTGGTGTATAAAAGGGCTAGGGGTTGCACCTCGGGGTGGAGCCCCCCCCCCCCGTGTGAAATTTTGTTCAGTCCCCCCAGTCAATATCCCCCAGCTGGAGACCAGTGAAATTGTGCGTATAATTCAGCATTCCATAGCAAATACAAATATTTTACAAAACATAATTCAGTAAACAAAATATTTCATAAAATTGGTTAATCGTTCATGACAGGAGATCTGTATTATGACAAGAGAATTACTTGGACGTTTCCTTGATTTATTTAACAAAAAATACAATATCAGTTTAAAATATTCACTACAAGCTACTATATTTCAGTCTTTACAATACAAAGATACAAAAACCTCTACTTTGAGAAGACATGCAAACTATCTTAATGTTCATAATGACACAATATGTATACGAAAATTACATTTATAACTGCATTGTGGCTTATTGTTAATACATCAACATGTAGTCTACACAAACCGTTAACTTTAATGGTCATGGAGACCCCCGAATCACTTTCCATTAAGTTGTCCTTAAAATTAATTGTACCCCTTTCATACTATATCTTGAAGAGACAGTAACATTACCAGTTGAATGGATAATCAATCGCTATTTTTTTCTATTTCTACAAGATCCTTTTAAAGGGATCTCTTAGAAAAACCTCCTACACAGGTCGACCTTTATCAGGCGCGGATCTAAGATAAGTGCTGACCGATTTCCTAAACGAGCGCTGAAAGGGTAAGCTTTTAGGGTGTCCGGGAACATGCTCCCCCTGGAAATTTTTTGGATTTTAACTCCTTAAAGTCTCCTTTTTTGGGGTCCCTGAGTCATTCAGACAGGATACTGGCGAGATTAGGGATCTCGCTTACGTCAAAGGGAAAACGCGAATTTGTAGCACGTGACGAAGTTCCCCTTTGTTTGTCGCCTACTGTTCAAAATTTCTACACATAAATTAGTACTTTCGCGCAATTTTTCGTACGTCAAATTTTATCAAAAAATGATTGACTAGCTATAGGACCACAATACAAGGCTGCATAGGCCCGTCGAAGCTTGAAAAAAATATCCGCAAGTGGAATTAATGAACATGTTTGATATACCAATGAGAAACATGTTTCACAACGAGCTTGTAACCCTGAGTTTGAGTTCCAGAAACAAGAATGTCATAAAACAAAGGGAAGAAAGAGGAACCCAGTTGTAAAGGACTTGAATGACAGTTCAGTCTTTGTTTCCGGCAAGCTAACGCTGAAGAATAAAACAGGGTCATTCTCTTTTCTTTTCCCTCCTTTCTTTTTTGACAAATATTTTTTTACCAAAAGCGTGATTTCATTCTCTTATTCGGAATCATAAAATCAGATTACTTTCTAATATATAACTGAGAGTTTATTGAAAGTCAAGGAAAATCCGTCGACGTATTTTAACAGTTAAGTTGAGCATTGCGTTAAATAAGAAGATAAACACGATTTGCATACGTCATTTGGCGGATGGATTTTTAATGTAATTTCTTAATTACCGGCTGAAATTGTCTATAAATATATTTTTACATGCACCATTTAGTTATAAGCCTCTATTCGAATCAGCTCAACTTTCTCTTTGTTGCTCCAAAACCGCAAGATATAATTAAGTTTTAAGTCTGCACCATTTAGTTAGAGGGATGTTTGGTTACCCCTTATCCCTGTACTTGAGCTTAGTTAGTTCACTATTCCTATAGTACCGATATTTCGATTTTCAAATTAATCATCCGCCTTCTAGCTAGTTTTAATTATTTTCCAAGTCATTCCAGTCCTTACGAAAATAGAATATAACAATAACAACAACAATAATAATAATAATAATAATAATAATAATAATAATAATAATAATAATAATAATAATAAATATAAAATGGCCAGTTATACTAGTCTTATATTCTTATATAGTAAGGGAGTACGTTAACAGCAGGTGGATAAATGTCAAATGCCTATATATTGAGAATCAATATAATATTGAGAATCAGGATTTTTGCTGGAAAGGTTTAATTGAATTGACTCAGTTTACTCTAAATGAGCCAGCCACATGGTAAACATTAGCCAAACAGGAACGTGTAGTGCAGAATTTATTTACTCCTTCATTAAATTTACCGTTTCGCGAACCAAAAGTTAAAACTAGTTCCTGTGCCTTAATACTTTTTTGAAAACTTGCTTCCCACTTTCCGTAATCATTAATCTGTACAAAAAAGGTCGTAGTTGGTAGATCTAAACGTATCTGTTTTGTGAGAATCATATTTCCAACAATTAGGTGTGGCTCTCCCCTGGATCATTAACTTCTAACAGAAGCATATGCTTCCGCTTCTAAACAGCATACTTTCAATTAACTTCAAAACGGACCGTTTTTATGACCTACAGTTTTAAGTAGCTCCATGTTCTAAGTGAAACCTCGGGGAAGCATTTTGTTTAACAGGGAAGTAGAGTAAGGTAAACAGACAAGATAAACAAACCCCTAATGCTGCCGGCTGCGATAATTGCTAAACTGCACTTAAAGTTAACATACTGAGGGTGCTTCATTTGCGTGAGGCAGTTTTGTATCACATTTATCTCTTTTTGGTGCTCTTACACTTCCAAATACAGAGGATATATAAGTTCTTATAAATTTAAAAGAGAGAAAAACTACTATCTACTTTCCCGTAAGGCAGAAAAATTTATGCATGGAGAATTACTGGGAGTGGGTGCAAGAGTCTACTGCTGAGCGAGCCCCACAGGACTAAGGAATCTACATCAGTTTCTCGTCACTTTCGTGGAAATGTTACGAAATGATGTCACTTTCTTCAAATCGAATTCAGTTAAGAATTTGGTTATCTCTTCTTAAAACGTGTTCAATAAAAATTGTTACCAAAACAATAACAAGCGATTAGTCCATTAAAACAGGGATATTGAAATTTTGCAACAGCTACCCGTAGAAATATTGTTTGCTGTCCGTATGTTCTTAATGGTTGAATACTGAAAGCTGTCATGACAAAGTTCTCTATTTGAAGCCGAGAGAAACGTGATAGGGTCATCCTGCTGTCAATATTTTCCTGTTTTAGGCGCACGTTGTTAGTTTCTGAACCACTGAGGTAAGATATAGTAGGGATAATGCCGAGCATGGGCGTTTGTCTCCAAATTTGTGCCTTTGGTCTGTCTCTGTTTTTATTCCCAGTTGCCTTTGGTTGCACTGATGGTAAGCATTTTACATCATCTTCAAAATTTGGTTTGCAAACCTTCTTTAGTTAAGTTACCTAACCTTGAAGGCAACTCAATTAAACATCCAAAAGCGGAATTAACAATTCAAATATATATAATTAAACCTTCTTGAAGTAGTGGAATGAATTTCGGACACTTTGTGTTCCACTACCCCAAACCTTGTAGTAAATTAAAGCAAAAATAGGTACTTATACATAAAAACCAGAAAAGAAAAAAGCTTAACGATACTTCGAGTCATGCTACAAGCTGTGAAACGCTTAAAATGAGATTGACGGGGTGAGCATTTACTGCATTTAAGGGTGACAAAGAGCGACTTTTGATATTCCTTTTTTTTATTCTTTGCAAACAGTTGTTTTTATGTTCAAAAGTGAGTGTTTTTCTTTTTAATTGTTCTCTTTTTTTGACTCATTTTGACTAACTTAATCTCATTACAGGAATAGTCATGCAAAATTCCCGTATATTTTTTTAATAGCATATGCTGAGTAAAGGATTGGATATAAGTGCTTATCGAATTTCTTGATTCATTGATATTTTCCATATATCTTTATTCCAAGGCTGTTAGGCTTTTTATTGGTAATACAATCGAATTGAGTTCAAAATATTTTACCCAAATACACCGTCTGTTGATACCGCTGAGAAAAAGTAATAACGCCGTAAAATTGATTGTGTCCTTGAAGCAAAATAGTTTGGAAGGCTTCACTACCAATGGTTTTTCGAAGATTCCAAGTTCGCATTTAAGACCACTAACTTCAATATCTCGAAAAATATGCTATATAAAGTCTGGACTTCAGATTGTTTATGAAGTTTAACAGTTTAGTTCTAATAACTATTTTTTTAGGTAATTTTCGTTTATGCAATCGAATTAATTCAGTTCAAACTATTTTTCGCAAAGACACTGGCTGTATACGCGCAAGGAAAAAAATATAACCCCGGAAAAATTACTGTCAACGTCCTTGAAGACAAATAATTCGGAAGGCTTCATCGGTGCACCATAAATCTTTTTAATTTCTGAAAAGCATACTTCCTAAGCAATAAAAAGAGACCAAAATTAATATAAATCTGTACGTGGAATATTTAAGAATTTATGATTTTTCGACGATTCAAAGTTCGCTAACTAAATTTTGCGCAAAATGACCTGTGTGCAACTTTGGACAAAAACACGAAATTCTACATCTCGAAAAATATGCCATGTAAGGTTGGGATTTCAAAATCTTTATGCAGTAGAACAGTGTTTTCACTATTTTCAAGGTAATTTCCCTTATGCAATTGAATTGAGTTCAAACTATTTTTCGTAAATTACCGTATAAGAAGGTGGATTGGCAATATTCACAGCATGGGAAGGAATTGTTTGAAAAAAATACAGTGCAACTAGAATTCTCTTTTATTTGCTGCCATTTTGACTGCCTATAACCAGAACACTTAATTATTACTTAATCTGTTAAATTGCATGACTGAAATTTCTTATTTTCTGCACAAGTTATTAGCCAAAATATCTTGCGGTAGAGGGAATTAAGCAACGGGGAACATGTAAGTCCCCTTCAAAGTTGGCGCTGTCTTCCTACTGCTAAAATATAAACATCAGTTACAAGTAGTTCCCTGCTCTGAGACAAAGACACCGAAGGAAACCTTAGGAAAAAACCTCTGCACAAGTGGTATTTTTACCCAAAAAATTACGGCCCATTCATTTGTTTCTTTCTTGTTTCAGATAATGGTCGTACACTAGAGTTCCCAGGACCTTTCTCCTTCATTAGCAAGCGTTTGGTGAGCCACACTATAGGAACTAAAATTGTTGCTGATTTTGAGAACTGCAAGCTGCATTGTTACTACGAACACAATTGCGTGAGTGTCAACTATCACGTGAGCACAAAAACATGTGAGTTAAACAACGCTACTCATCGATGGCATAATAACGAATTCAAAGATGAAAATGGTTACCTCTATCATGGAGCAGATGTAAGTTCTTCCTAGTTAACTGCTCTCCTTCCCTTCCCCCCTTTTCCTCCCCCTGCTTCTCCTTCTCCTTCTCCTCCTCAACATTATCACCATTATCATCATCATCACCGTCAATATCATTTCTCGTTCACTTTTCTTCTTCTTCTTCTTCTTCTTCTTCTTCTTCTTCTCTGCAAAATTTCCACTGATTATATCACTTCACCCTAATCATCCAGCTACTCGTTTGCTTCATTTACTATTTTCTCTGTTTCTCTTTTAAGAATGCCTGTGAAGAGTTCGATTGTTTAAATGGAGGAACCTGTCAATCCGGATTCACAGTAGAAAGATATCGATGTTTGTGCCCTCTTGGTTTTAGGGGTAAGCGCTGTCAAGCAGGTAAGAAAATAAAAGAGGTAAAATGGAGCCTTTCTTTCACTTAACATTTGCGGCCTTCGAGAATTGCTTTTCTTAGTATGATTTGCCGTCGTATCAAATCCATCCCACACTTCAACGTTTGGTGGACTCTTTAGCGACGGATTTCAGTGGACATGTTGGGTGGATTTCTGCATAGTGTCAAACTCGGAGAGCGTGTTAGTAACAACTAAAGGATGAATACTATTTTTTCCCTCTACAAACAATTAGGTGATTAAGAATGATCGAGCGGATTGCTAGTTTGGTTGCACGAACAGAAAATCCTCGAGAACAAATCTACTGGTTGTCGTCTCAAAGATAAAAAACCGAGGGTCCGATCGAGTGTGAGAAAAAAAAATTGCCAAAGAGTAATTGAGGCCGGCGACAAGAGGAGTCCATGACATTACATGGGTATACATGTCGATACATTATTTTAAATGCATTCTTGATACACTTTAATAACCCTACTTAAAGTACCTACCTGCACTGTACGTATTGTAGGCAGCTTCGTTCAGACTTCCACTAGGAATGCAGTGGAATGCAGATGTCGCAACCTGGTAACGCTCGTCTGGACCTTTTATCACTCGTTATCTGATTACGCCTGATTTGACTTTCACTATCAACTAAAACTTACGCCAAGCAGAGCGTTGGGTTGAGCAAGAGCATCATATATGTCAGATCTTCGCTGTCGTCCGCATTCCGTAACCTTTAGTACATAATATATCTTTGTTGTCACATACTGTCCTGCGTAGAATTGATTCAAGACGTGTCTTAACTAAAATTAATTATCATTCAGATATAGACGAATGCCGGTTCAACTCTCACAGTTGTAGCAACAATGCCATCTGCATTAACACCAAAGGTTCCTTTAACTGTAGTTGCAAACCAGGTTATAGTGGGAATGGCCACAGCTGTGCAGGTGGGTGCTTGCGAAGTTTTATATAATATTATTTACTCAGGCTCGCCAATCCTTGCAGGGTCACCGTTACAGCCCTCACTGAATTACTGGGGTCCGTAACAGTTCCTTCCCTCGTGATAAATAGACCACCACACAGCACGTGGGTTCTTCATCGTCCTAAAGAATGTATTTGTGCCTCAATATCCGAGAAGACTAAAAATTTCAAACCGTTTGCAGATTTGTTCACCGTATCTTTTGTTGCACCTGTTTATCTTCTAGGTTTGGGTAATTTTGGTTATAAAAAATGAGTAATTAAAAAAATAAAAAGCACACAAGCACAGAAGAGCTATTATATTATGCAAGCGACTCCTCGAAGTATAGGAATACAATTTTACTAGTATGATATGCTTTACGCCTCGTATCAGGTTAGAAACCAAAGTTAAATATACGTGGTTCTTTTCTTATTGATGCAAATCAAATTGGAGGCGAGTATCAAAACAAAAAAGTGTTTATTGTAACATTAGCAGTGCTTGTATATTCTTTCAATAATCAGACGTCCACTTTGTCGTGGAATTCCTCTATTACGACAGATAATGCGCTTTTGCAGTGTTTCTGTTTATCTTTTCTCGTATCATTCGATTGCTTCTGCAAACGAGGGTACGATGGAGATGGACACAATTGTACGGGTAAAATCATCTACATGGGTTTGGTTTACGTATCCACTTTTAAAAACTATGATTAGGCAGTCTTTTTTTCTTCGGGAGAACGAGAAAATATAGAGATATAGGGGGGCATGTTCGCAGGCTAAATATGTCTATTATATGAAATGACGTATGCTAATTTCTCCTTGTTTACTGCCAGATTATTGCATTTTTTGTAGTCTCGCTTGCGTAAACAGCGAGACTCATAATCTGCAACGCGTTTTTCGTCGTATTTTGGGCACAAAAGGGGGGTCATTGTGCCACTCGTTCCTTGCGGAGACCGTGGAAACTGGGACTAAGAATCGTTGCGTGATCGAAGCCACGCATGTTTAGCGAAGAAAGCTTAGAAAAGATTAAATTTAAAGCTATTCCGAAAAGTGTCGGTTCACGAATTCTATCGCTTGAAAGCGTTGATTACTTAGGAACAAGTGAACACTTTTGAATGGTCAAAAAAAAAAAAAAAAAAAAAAAAAAAGAATCTTAATTAGCAAAACTGAGATGGTCGGGTGTTGTAAACTTTTATTGTATGCAAATGAGCTTGTGATGAGCATGGGTTTATATTCCGCGCTGATGGAAATGACGTGCCATGTAAATCACTTTTTTGATCTCTGGCAATGAAGTTATTTCTATGAATCGAGACCCTTGAATTTCCGTGTATTTACACACTCGTATAGCCTGCGACCGCAGACGTTATTTCCGGTCGTCGCTAACACGCGTACTAAATCAGTTTAGAAACAAATAAATAGTATCGATGTCGATAAATTAAAGTAGGTAGTAACAAGAGGGCGCTTACAGTAGCATTCCGTCTCGCCTGCTTGGAGATTAGATCAAGAAATGAGGAGGCGATTAATTCTACAAGAAACATGATTTACTCGCTAAAGGTTTTTTACTTCCTACTTTATCGACGTCGATACTTTTTATTTGTTTCTGAATTGATTTAGAAGCAGGCTATACGCGTGTATAAATACACGAAAATTCAAGGGCCTCGATTCCAGAGAAATTACATCATTGCCAGATATCAAAAAAGTGATTTACATGGCACTTCATTTCGATCGTTGCCGAAAATAAATCGCATGCTCATCACAAGACTTGTTTGCATACAGTGAAAGTTTACCAAACCCGACCATCGTAATTTTGCTATTGATATTCTTATTTTTTTCGAGCACTCACTTGTTCACTTGTTCCAAAGTAATTAACGCTTTCAAGCGATAGAATTCGTGAACCGACACGTTTCGGAAAAGCTCTAAATTTAATGATATTTTAATCTTTCCTGAACTTTCTTCGCAAAACATGCGTGGCTTTGATCATGAAACGATTCTTAGTCGCAGTTTCCACGGTGTCCGCAAGGAACGCTTGGCACAATGACCCCCGATCTTTGACCCAAAACGACAAAAAAGTCAGGGGCAACTTCCAGAAAAATTGTGAGGGGATGTGCTGCACGCTTCCTGAAACGCTTACCCTATTTCAGACCAAAATCTGTGATTTTCCCTACCCTATTTCGGACGAACACTTTGTTGTGGAATTCCTCTAATACGACAGAAAATGCCCTTTGCAGTGTTTATGTTTATCTTTTCTCGTACCAGCACCTTTAAATTTACTGGGTTTATTCTTCAGACATAGATGAGTGCGACGCTGCAAATAATAGCTGTCATGAAAATGCTTGGTGTAATAACGCTCAAGGATCATTCACTTGCTCCTGTAAGCCAGGGTACGAAGGCGATGGATACAATTGTACAGGTAAAATTCTTTAGGTTTTTTCAAGTCCTTTTAAAACAATTCTCGACAATTCGCCTTAGTTTGAGAGGTGACTGCTGACATGTTCTGAAATCAATGCGAGTCCCGGATGTAGTTTTTATGAAACAATAAATAATTACTGATTATACTGGTGACTATATTGATTACCTGTTTGTTCAGGCAGAATAGAATTAATATTTACTTTATCACTCAGACGCAGACGAATGCCTGAACACCTCTCACAATTGTAGCGAAAATGCCAACTGCACTAACACCGAAGGGTCCTTCAACTGTAGTTGCAAACCAGGGTACATTGGAAATGGCCACAACTGTTCACTGGCAGGTTAGTTGTTGAAATTCCTGTCTCGCTTTCCGTTAGTTTTGAGACTTCTTGTTTAGTACAAAAAGGGTTAATGTTCAGTGATGTAGTATAAAATCATAAATTGCAGTAAATTATAAGAAATTGTTACTCGCTCTTATGATAATTTAATTTATTTATTCAGTTATTAGTTCCTTGCTTATTAAAATCTAACAACTTCGTCTTCACGACTATTGGATAACGTCAGAGCTCATCTCTAAATATTTGCATCATCATGTAAAATACATCCTCGGATAACTCTTAGGGAGTAACTATTAACCCCCTGTTCTGTACTACGATGGGAATATAAGATAAGATAATTGACCTAGATAAACACTATCCCCGTTTTTTTGGGGGATACCATCCTACTTTGAAGCTCTCTGGTATCCCCTCCTTTACTTTTATCGTAAGTCTAACACATAGAATCGATAACATATAGTGAGCAATTGTCAATTGTGGCCCTGAAAACTTTTGAAAGAAAGAAAAAATACGAATTTTTAAGAAAATGCTTTTTTCGTGAGAAGGACTCTTAAACGCTGACAAACGTCAACAAATAGCGAAAACTATAATTTCTATATGTTTGCTTTGCTCGAAATCGCGCGCACTTTCAAGGCTCTAAAGCGTTTTGCTGACTTGCAAGGACCCATCTGTTATAACGATGCCCAAAATAAAGGGATGAATCTCATAGTTTATTAGATATAATCGTGTAAAGTTTGCTTATCATTTTCACATAAATTATGACCTAAATTTGGAAACCGCTGAATTTCTCGAATTGGGTCTTTGCGATTTTGGTGAAACTCTGTTCAGCGCAAGGCACTAATGCGCACTATGTGTAGCCGAGAGATTTTCACGAAAAAATGCCGGGAACAGCAGATTTTCGACTCAGACCTCAAAGGGGTGTGGCATTATAACCACGTGACATTTACTCCGATCGCCAAATATTTTATGTTATATTGTAGATTGATCTATATGTTATCGATTCTATGTGTTAGACTTACGATAAAAGTAAAGGTGGGGATACAAGAGAGCTTCAAAGTAGGATGGTACCCCCTCCAAAAAACTGGGTCGAGTCAACTTAAACCCTAAGATCTAAATTAAAAATTCTCCTTTGTTGCCGCTATTCATTTACTATAGAAGTAGGCAGTGGGGAGAAGTTGCTCTACTTCAACAACGATAAACCACATACTTTTTTTTTTCTCAGAATACCAGTTGTATTAGAAAACCGCAGGTCATCTCAGGGGAAGGGGGGGCGGGGGGTGTGCACCCCTGCACCCCCCCTAGATCCGCCCCTGCCTATCT